GATGTTCAGATCACGTATTTTACAAATATTTTATATTTTTTATTATTTCTATGACATGCACGCGATTAGATACTCTTTCAATGCTATTAGTACGTGTAATATATAATACTTGTTAATAATATTATATAATATACAGCTCTTGCATGGTCACAAATTGTTAAGTTTATATTAATATATATATATATATATATAAAGTATACTTTTATTAATAATTATGTTGTTTAATTTTATGAAAAATATAATTGCGACAATTAGTTGAATCACTTTGTGACACGTGTGTCAAACATAAATTATAACGTAGTTTGAAATAAATATGTGATACATAAATAACTATAAATGTCTTATGTTGTAAGAAAATCATTAAATGCACGTCAGTATGAAGAATAATAAATGTTTGATAAATACGCTTTCTAAAAATCTATTTTAAATACAGGAGAAATCCATGTTAGATATTGTAGGTAAATTTTTAAAAATGTACTGCACCCTGTGCGATGTTCAATTGGGTTGGGTTGGTCCCCTTTACAATACAAAATCTTTCTATTGAATCCTATATTAATACAATGGAAATCTCTCGTTTGACACAACATACCAAATCAATCCTAGCATTACATTGACCCACGCCTGTAAAAGAAGTCGGGTAGCTTCTTAGTTCGTGTATCGCGAGCTTCATGAGCTACTAATCTCTGAGATTTACAAGTAGAATTACGCGATTAAGGCGACGGGCGGAGAGATTGTGACACAACAGCGCCTCTCACATAATCACGTATGTTTCCTTTGTCGGGAGGTATTTAGTCGACGGTTGCAGTACCGTCACTTTCATGGTGTGCCGTTTCTCTTTCTTCGTCTACAGTCTTTTTATGCGCTTTCGCTTGTATTTCTTGCCATTCTTTGTACTATCTTACGCTGCTTTCTGTAACTGTTAACGACGCGTTATTATCACGAATAAAGAAAAGTTATTTCAGCTATTTTTGCACTGCTTTTGTGCTTTAGCACCTTCATTAATGTTTTGATCATTTTGTAATGTTTAAGATTTTCATGTCAAGAAAAGTACTCCTTTGTTTCATGAAAAATAAATCATATTCTACATATAAACGGTTAAGTTGAAAATTGTTTTTACATTACACAATTATTGAAAGAAAGACTAATTATTTTCTCAAGAAGAGAAATATAGTACTTTGAATATTATGTTTCAAATTTTCAGTTAAAATATTGCTTGTGCAGAATAATACACATTTCGAAGAATGCCTTAACGAGACTTCAATATATTTATTATAAAATTATTGACTGTCAAATATAAGTAGAAATTTCAATATGAATGAGAAATTAATTTACATGAAATAATAGTATTTAAAATTTTAAAATGCATTGAAATTTGCTTAAAACTGTACTAATATAGATAATTGAAAGAACTTAATTATCAATAATTTGTTAATATAGATAATAAATAATTAAGATTTATAGAATTAATTTTTAAATTTGCAAATAATTATAATAATTATGTTTTTGTGCTATGACTCATATAATATTTTAAACAACTAGATTCATTTCACATGAGAATAGAAAATTCTACGTATTAAGAATAAAAAAGTGTAAATATTTAAACAGGATTAATCGTTTTTATATAATGAATCAACTCCATGGTTACCAAACTCCACAAACATATGTTATGTATGCATATACGCACTCGCACACATAATCTGTCTGAACAAGGATGAGATAGAGATAGAGGAGGAGAAGGGCAACCTTCTTTCTATGGCCATATTCCCTGATGATTAGGGCTGGCTTTGGCCCCCAGGACAATCGAAAGTTACAACATGGGCGGGGCTGCGCGTCAAACGCGCGCATGGAAAACCACTGCTGCGCTAATATTGATGTCAACCTCTGCTTTCGTAAACAAGTTTGACAGAAATAATACGGATTTTTCATTCGCGAAAAGATCCTATATAAGCTTATGATATTTTTTTATATTATTCTGATCGTCTTACATTTATTATTTACACATTGTCGTAAGAAATATCTTCTGCAGTAGTAATCTTTAATTACATTGAATAATTTATAACGTAGTAAAATAAAAAAATATATAATGTGTTAAATTGTACTTTAAAATCGAGATTAAAATTTATGATTTGTGAAAATAATTTGGAAAGATAATTATTTTATTACTATATTATATATTACTATATTATATTCAGATGTATTATAGTATTTCATTATAAATTTATAAATTATTATCGCTAATTTTCGTTCATTACATTAAAGTTCACATTAAAAAGTACGTCTTTTAGTTCCATCGATTACTGAGAATTTTGCTGCAAAAATGACTCTCAGATCGATTAAATATCATTATAAATTGGCAATGAAAATCAACCGTAGGTATATAATTGTATGCTGTTACGTATGTAGATCAATCGAAGGGAGAATAACTGTATAATCATTGGTATTTTTCTGCTTAGCTGTAGTTACATCGGGGGTACAGGAAGAGATTAAATTACGCGTGAACACATGCCACTTGAACGGTCGTTCTACATCATACTATCTCTATCATCATTGCCGATGTGTAAAAGTAAAGTTAGAAAATACTCAATTGAAATAGCGAGTGCTTTAACGTAAATGTGTTTTTACAAATGTTGTCAGAAAAAGTAAAAATTTTAATTATTTTACAGCTGCAAGAATGCGGCAACTTTTCAGTACATTATTAAGCGACCGATGATATGTATATGACCATTTTAGTAATATCATGATGAGTTTCGAATTTTGCATCTCATTATAAATGATAAATTTAATTATGAAATATGAAACTTTTCGACAAAATGTCAAATAGTATAATCTTTAAATATAGCAGGCATTTATTATCCTACCTGTATCACTTTCGTCATTGATACATCCTATGATAATAAATAAATTTATTTAAACTGAGGTATATAAATGTGTGTGTGTGTGTGTTTGTGTTTGTAATTGTACGAAAAACAAAGGCCAAATGTAATTCTAATTAGTCATTTGCCAATGTCCAGGCTTTCACGCAGTCCTATCAAACAGACAATAATGAATGTGTAGGCCATTTTTCGGCTTAATCTAAAGATAAAGAACGAGCGATCTATATTCGCATGGTAGAGAAAAGACCAGCCGGCGGGGCGCTTTTTTCAAGTTTCTCATTGCAAGACAGCATTCAGGGAATTTCGAGGCAAGCGCGCGTGTGAGTATTTCATGCTGCGGTCGAAAGACGGCGGATGTCTATGCACAGCAACCAGTGCGCCATCCAATTCCGGCCGTCATTCCAAGTTCAAATATAACGCCATTCCGAGGAGCAAACATTTCCTCGAGTCGCAGTCGTCGTCGCAGTGCAAACCTCGTGGTATATGTATATGCGCGCCTCCGGGGAGTGAGAGAAGAGAGACTCTTGCTATCCGCAGCAACGGCACAGTGCTGACCATTTTGCATCTCATTCAGTCCGCCCATTCAAATTCTCTTTTTGCTCGTTTCCGTGCGCGAGTCTTGTTTGACCGTACGTATGCGATTGCAGGCGGATGTACGCGAAACGAAACGAGAACTTACTCCTTACATTTCCTTGATTAAATAAAATTTGTATTACATTTTAAGCTCCGCTCGTGAGCTGTTTGGTATTTAAAATAACTTGAATCAGGCCTTGCTTTATAAGTACATCCTGCTGCTTTAAAGCATTTCATTTTAGAAAGATTCAGAAGCTCGTATTTTAAGTATATTTAGTGAACTTTATTTTTCAAGCCTGAAGAAAGATGCCTAGTAGAATGCTTGAAATTTCTAATTTGGAAAATTTTACCTCCCGACTCATTTGCCTGAAAATAACGAAAAGCCAGTGCAACTCCAAATGTGCTATTGAAAATACTATTGTTTCATTTTACGCAATATTATTAACACAAATAATTCGTCGCATGCTCTCGACACTCCCACTGCTGGCTAACAGAAAGTTGTCTGTATAAAACTTAGTGCTTAGTAACCCCTATGATTTAGAGATTTTGTCTTGTCAACACGAGTGCCAATTGAGCGAGCGTAATAACATGGCCGTATGTGTCATTTGTACTTGTGAACATGTGGGTTCCGCTCTTGACATAAATGTTCACTTTCATAAATACGCGCTTTCGGTTAACAACACCGATTCAATACTATAGCGAATCATTTCATGTCCTATTATTTTGCATTAATACTTAATAAATAAATAAAAAATTTTAATTAAATATTTTAATGTAGTATAATATGCTTATCAATACCATTCTACCTATACCATACTAATTAATATATATATATATATATATTATATGACAGGGAGAAATGCATACATACACAACCCACATTTGTACATGTCCATATGTCATGACTACGTACACTTATATACATACATACATACACACACACACACTCATATATATATATATATATATATATATATATATATATATACCCATGCATAAGCACGTATAGTTGAATTGTTAACTAATAGAGGTTCAAAGGTTAGTTTAAAATTAATTTGAAAATGTAAGAATTAAAAGGTTAAAAAGTTAAGTATCTAATTGATAATTTTTGTATATGCAAAATTATGTATAGTATTATTGTGAAAAATCTTCCGCTAATTTTTATTCTACTTGACATGCAAACGATATTCATTAGGTGTAGTAGCATAGGAAGTGTCGAGATAAGAGCTGCTTATTTTTATCTGCCATATTTTTACATAATTTTCATAAGTGTTCTCTAATTGTATGAGCCGTATAACTATATAGTAAAAGACGAATATACAATTTTCTCCTATAATGTAATATTATCACAACATAATCTATACAATAATATTTCAGAGTAAAAAAACTTATCTAATATAATTTTAAACATCATTGATAAATGTGAAAATTTTATCATCCTCAATAAAGCAATATTATTAGAGAGAGAGAGAGAGAGAGAGAGAGAGAGAGAGAGAGAGAGAATTAGTTCAAAGCTTATTCAATATCAATATTTTATTGTTCTAGATTGACGCTATGCAACCGTTCTCGTCGAGCCAGACAATGGCGACGGAGATACCGACGAGTTTGCCACCCGACAGGGTAACTTCGCCGACACCCTGTCGCAATCTCACCTTCTCTATCGCTAAGATTATGGAACCCGATAAGCGATTGACAGAGTCCAGTCAGCAACAATCAGTAGCCTCCACCATAAATATATGCACGACGGCGACAACGATACTCCAACAGGCAGCTCCTACCCTATCGATGAGCTACTCGGCACATCTCGAATCCGCCTTCAAGAAATACGTTCCGACTTTCAGTCATCATCAGAATCTTCTTCAGTACTATCCTCTCCTCCACTACCACACAAGTCCCCTTCTACGATCTTTTCCTGGACCGGCGCCTTCATCCACGACGCCCACGACGACGCAAAATAGTCGATCGCCTCCGCTTACTCATCAAGAGACCTCCAGATTATCCTTGTCCTCCAGCTCGCCGGAGGAGCCCTGTACCAGAGAAAAGAAGAATTCGTCACCCCGAGATGCCGTTAACAGCAACTCGGCCAAGCAAAAGAGCTTTACCTGCTCGGAATGCGGTAAAGTCTTTAATGCTCATTACAATCTTACCAGACACATGCCCGTACATACGGGCGCCCGACCCTTTGTCTGCAAAATCTGCGGCAAGGGCTTCCGGCAGGCGAGTACACTTTGCAGGCACAAAATCATTCACACGGCTGAAAAACCACACAAGTGCCAGACTTGCGGCAAGGCGTTCAATCGCAGCTCGACTTTAAATACTCATACGAGGATTCACGCCAATTACAAGCCCTTCGTTTGCGAGTTTTGTGGTAAAGGCTTTCATCAGAAAGGCAACTACAAGAATCACAAGCTCACGCACAACGGCGAAAAAGCTTACAAGTGTAATATTTGCAATAAGGCCTTCCATCAGATCTACAATCTCACATTCCATATGCACACGCATAACGATAAGAAGCCCTTTAGCTGTAAAATATGCGGGAAGGGCTTCTGTCGTAATTTCGATTTAAAGAAACACATGAGGAAGCTACACGACACGGGCTCTCCGGTATCGCTGAGTGCATTGGGCAGTTCCAGTCAAAGTCATGGACAGCAATCGGGATATTCATCGATTCATCATGGGCCGACGGGCCATGCGTTTGTCAGTCCGTTTTTACTGCCACCGCCCGGATCGAACAGTTATCTGAGTAAAATGTTGTGACAGGACAATTTGCACTTCGTCAGGAAGAATCAGTGCCCATTGATTTTGGCACCTCCGTGTTATCCCACCGACTTGGGACCGTTGGTACAATCATCGAAATGAGTAATCGTAGGTAGGTAGCGATTGAAATTAGGATCTCTGGACTTTTTGTTGCTAAGCACAATTATTATCGTTATACGAGGATGAAGAAATAAAAGCCGTTAATTACGATGTTAAAGAAAACAATGATCGCGAAGTTTTCAATCTATGGCTATTAAAGTATTTTAAATTTCACGAAGTAACTTTGTTGATGAATAGCATTCATGAGATGTGTTAACGAAACGCCGTGAAAATTTATGGTGAAAATGATCGATTGCATAGTAACAACCAACTACCTCATTTATCATCTACGTGTCGTAGACGTAGTTCTACTATTATACAGGATTCAGGACCAATAACGGATTCAGATTCAGAAATCTTTAAATATACATTGTATTTGCTCCATCTGACATTACTAAATGCATTATTATTAATAATATATTTAAGGTATGGAAGTAATTAATATTTTTCAAATCATTACCAGATATTTAATATTTAATTCACTTAAAAATGCTTATGCGTAACAGAATGTAATTGCTAAATTTATAATTAATTTTTCATTAGCCTAACATATTTTAATGAAAATTTGAATTATTGTAAAATTATGTTCAAATAAAAATAAAGTATTTAATATCTGCAATGAAGAGATTGATATTAAAGCCCATAGTCAAACTTCTGAAATCCGTAACATAAACTGAATAAGATCAAAGCTATCATACATGTTTTGTCATAAAAATCATAAAAATGTCTCTTCTAGTCGCGGTCACGAAATTCAGAAATTGAATGACTGCGTTTAACCAGATAATTAAAATTGCTAGGTTAAAACAATTGAATGCACAACAAAGTAATTGCTGATTCAGTTTCGGCAATAATAATATGACTATGACGAAGTTGTAAAAATTTATAATATTATTATTGATCGATCGTTTCGTAATTGGTAACGCAATTTTTACTTTTTACATGTATAATAATATTATTTCATAAAAATTAAATTTATTTACATAAAGTATCACATATCTTTTAGAAAATGTAATGATGCTATAAAAGAGAACTCGGTGTATTAATTTTTTCTAGCAAATTTAGTCAGCTGCTGCCTAATCAATTTTAACAATAATTATATTTATTCCTTTAAAAATATATTATTATATTTACTATATTCATTTTATTAAATATTTTTTATGATGTAAAAATTAAGACATGTCGTACATCAATGTTTATATAAATTCATAGTACATTTAAATTTACTTAAAATTTGTTAATATATTTGAAGGTTATTCGGCTGGGGTAAATAGTAATTTGACAAAAAATTGCAATTTTTTCCAATATTTTGGGAAAGTAGATTTGAATAACATCATTAAAATATACTTGTAAAAAAACTTATGAATTGTTTGGAAAACCAATTTTGAGAGCATTTTGTGTAATAAATCAACGTTACTACATGTGTGAACATTATTATTATATTATTAAAAACATTAACTATTATTTCCGTATTCATATATTATCGTTATGTTGATTGACAATATACAGATATACGTAATGGATTTTTCCAATCTAACAGTTCAAATTTAAAATTTTCATGATTACTTTATATTCCGTAGTTGATAAATGCTTACATCCATCTTGTTCATTGAAAAATCATAAAAAAATACACGCTTATGTTTAACATTCATAATCAAGTAATTATTAAAGCAAAGAGCCTATGTGTTATGGAATTACTTTTGTAAATATTTGTAAATATACATATTATCACCCGTTATTGGATCAAAGGATATTAATAAAGTTATAGTCTGGACGAACTAGTTGTAATTCTTGTATAAATTAAATCTCATTCGCATCGATAATGCAGTTAGTTTTAAGTCGTATAGTATAAAATAAATTACAAATGTGCATTATACTTATTTCATTATTGTAGATAATAGTCCATTGTTTCCTATTGTATAAAATATCACTGCATTATCAATGTTCTAAATAAAACATATACAAACTTTATCAAATAACGGACATTAGGAATGAAAATCATAATGATCTTATTTGTTGAAGGAATCGATATATTTGTTATTTGAGAGATATTATGAATCATTTTTTTAAATAGAGATTGAAGTAATATTGTACATTTTTATATATTACAATTTTTTATATAGTACTATTTATGGTATATAAATATTATTCAACAATATTTTCAGCAATTAGAATTCAATAATTTATATTATTTAGACTAATGAAAAGTTATTTTCGTGAAAGAAATATCGAATACGAAAATATAATTGAAATAAAACTTTCTACGTTATGCATTAGATTGTCATAGGATGGATTAATTATAATACTGAAAAATTAAAACATCTTCGTAAAATACTTTTCAAAATGATTAATTACAATATGAATATTTTCGGTATTAATTTTAACACTCAAATTACTAATTGTTTAGCTATTCAAGTACTTATGAGGTTTATCAGTACTATATGATTAGAAAATTATTTATATTATTTATATTGCAAATAATTTTATGAATTAAAATAATTACTTTTATCCTATGTACTTCATTACAAACAAAATATTGATATTTTATTAGTATTATCGATAATATTACAATACTGATAACACATAAGATTGTAATGGCAATTTAACTTAAGAGTACTGTTAATGTACCATAATATTAACTACTTATATTTATTTATTATCTCTCTCTGACAAATAATATTACATTATTCCGTGAAAATCTTTATTCTTAAAATATTTTTTTATATGATATGCAGTCAATAAGTAATTGCAACTTGAATATATTCATCAATATTATATATCATTACCTCATAAGATATCAGTCAAAAATGTATTTAAAATACTAGTAACATTAATAATTTCAAGTGCCTATCCTTTCAGCATCATAATGTTTTATACTTCAATCATTTTCTTGGCATAAGAAATTTTAATTTGAATATATCAATCGTTCGGTTCACACAAAAATTAAATCCAAATTGGAACTGAATTATGAATAATTAATAATGTTGACTTTAGACAAAAAAAAAAAAGAAAATTCTGTAAGAAATAATTTTGTTAAATGTAAAAAATTATGACTCATAAGATTTCTCAAATAGCCGTTTTAAATAGAAGATTCACGTACAAGATGCGATTATTATTAAAATAATGCCAAAGCGCGCTCTGATCAAACTTCTCGAGGTTTGCCACATATGTGGCTTATAACCTACACATATGATCGCTCGAAATAAACTTATAATTCATAAAAGGCGAAAGTTGTATAAATCGGTGTGATAGTAGCTTTAAGCGAATATAGATAGTTAATAACGATAATGAGAATGCGTGTCGGCCACTAAAAAATACTAATGTTGTGTTTGACGAATACCGATGTCTGCGTTACAGAAGTCGAACCAACTATTCGTCATAAATTAATCTGCAATATTGTGCAAAGTAAAAACGAAATACGAAAGAAGAGACTGCAGTGGTGAAATGTTGTACTGATGGATCCCATGAATCTGCATCTTATAAAACAATATACTGCTGTTTTTTGTTAACTTGGCATAATATCAATCGCTAGATAAATCAGACTATGAGACGTATTTCATAAAAGGACTTAAAAATTTAATTTGAAAATTAATATTTACATATCTTTGCAGTTTTTCATGTTCCGTCATCTTCGAAATGACTTATTTATGTCGATGTACGTAATACGTATCAAATTGAACTCGAAAACGAGCCCTTATCAGGATCCATCTCTCTAAGATTGCTTACAATTAATGAACAAAAAGAATAAAATAAATAAAGTCACAACGATACGAGGGAATAAACTACATAAGCATTAAAAATTAATTATGTACGCGGAAATTAATAAATGTAGATAACGACGTAGAGTAGAAGAAAAATCTATGCATATATGTATGTGTCTCCCACTGTAAATAAATAAAACAATCCAACGCAATAAACTGATAAGCATACATATTAACATTATTTATATTTATTTCTTACTTTACCTGTTTAATACGGTGTAATTTTACAGTTCCTTAACCTAATAATATAATAAAAATAGCAATTATTCGTATAAACTAAAAGTTCGTACAAAAATTTTTCTTATAATTTGTTTTATTAAAATGCAAATATTATTGTACTTACAAATTTATTATTAATTTAGGCTATCTTTTTTATCTTTGATAGTATCATATTTATATTTGTAAATATAAATACTTATGATAAGATATTAGTTATGGATTTAAGAAGATTGTATTATTAAAAAGTTCATTATATTGATCGTTAAGCTATTCATTCCGTGTTTATATTTCATGTTTTCATGACTAATTTGCAATATGCGAAAATGTTGTTTCCAAACATTTAATATTTATGTCTTTCAAAAATATCAGAGTACAAATAATTTATTTTCTTGATCCCATATTCTTCTTCAAAGTATTAAAAAGCTGTTAAATTACAACTAAAAATATCATTAAAGTAGTATAATTAAATAACGATTATTGCACAATTACACTTTTTATAACGAATTAATATTTTATATATGAAATAAACATTATACCAACATGTGTTTATTCTAATTATTTGTAGTTTAATTAACAAGTTTAAAAAATAAAATTAAATAGTCGAATTCAAAATGTATATTAGCAGAGATGTATGTAACTAAAATTTTATTTCAATATGATAAGTTACGGAATTGATTTTTCCCTCTATATAATTGACGTAAGTAAATATTATTTCATCATATCTGTTATATATTTTATTATTTTAATTAATAATTATTTTATAAATGAAAATATTTTTTGCAAATGTGTGTTTGTTGTCATGAGATTAAGAAATCCAGTCAATCGAAATAACATATGGAACTTAATATTGAGATATATTATAATTTTTCTAAGAATTTTCATAATTATAATTCAAATTTTTGTTTATTTATTAACGATGTTGTAAGTGTAATATAATAAATTAAAAATTTTTAAAAAAAATTTAAGAAATAA